AACACTAAAGATAATTGTTAAGTCAATTTATGCAGGTCTTATAAATGCATACATATGTATGTAAATATGTAATAAAAGTATATGTAAATGGAATCACTTTTACAGATAAGTTAAGAAATTAATCGAGAATTTCACGCCTGATCGATAAGGATGCAAATGATTTCAAAAAAGAACTTGTTTACTTGTATTTGCATTGCTTGCGCAATAAATTGTTTATTTTTGTAACGGGTGATTTTTTTGAGGTTAGGATTTTCATGCATTAGTATTTGACAGATCACTGTAATAAAATTAGATAATACAGTTATAGTTAACGAAAATTGAAAAATATATTTAATGATTGCATTTGCAAAACCATTTTTCATTCAAAACTGTCAAAGGAAATACCGACGACGTCAAACTATTGTATAACCACTGGCGCTTTTCAATTCTATTTACAAATATATTTTTTTTTTTTTGCGGAACAATACTCTAGCATGTTTTGTTCACATGTACATATGTACATATGTATACTATACATAGAGTATACTATATTCAAATTAAATGAGAAAATATTGTTTCATAAAGTCGACACTCAATGGAGCTGGGCTGCCTCGTTTATGACAAGGAAATTGCTGACCAATAAATTTTGTCACTTTTTAACTGGCAGTGGCAGTTGATTTTTGTATTACATACATACATACATATGTATACATATGTACATTAGACCGTACCATGTTACAAGCAAAAAAATAAGTTCTCCGTACACCCCTGAGGCGAAAGTACTTTTGCAAGGCAATTTCGAAAAAAAAAACTTTTTTTTTTGCCAAACATAGGGATCGGCTTTTTATGTTTTTCGGTGACACCTACATTCGGCAATGAAAATTGGGTTTTTAAATAGTTCTACCGGAATAAATAATATACAAAGCTTAATAATTTTTTGGTAGCTAGAATTTATGACGTTAGCGAGGTACGCTATGGTAATAAGAACTCAAATCTGGTGGGTAAGTATTCGAACGGAGTACTTTTGAGGTCAAGGAACTTTGGAATAAAAAATTGACAAGAACATTCCAAGACGAGTGTAAAAAGGCGACCCCACGTTCGGCTAAAAACTACTTATTTGCCTAGCAAAATACTTTAAGACTTTTTACTTTCCGTTGCGGTCTAATGTACATACTTATGAAGTACTATAGCGCTTCAAATTTTGCCTGCAAGAAATTAAATTCATTTCTAAAAAAGCTATTACTTTCAAAATATTGTTTGCTTTTCACTTCTTTCCGCTTTCGTTAGGTACAAATACATATTAGGGCGTGTCAATTTTTGTTTTGACTATGCGCTTATAGCATAGGAGGATGCTCGTGTAAGCAAATTTGCCGAAGAAACCATGGGTCTAAAATCAATTTGGAGTTTACCAAATTGCGAAAATAGGTTTCGAAGAAAATGTTAAAATCGTTTAGTGTTCACTATTGTGCCCTCTGGTGGAAATTTTAAGTAAAATATAAATGCTGGAATTGATTTCTCATGCCAAAAACCCCTTATAGCATGTTTTTATACAAAATTTAAGCACTTTTTTACGACACTGCAGCAAAATGCTAAAAAACATATCTTCGCAATTTGGAAAACTCCAAAGAATTATACGTAGAATCCTGTGCTATACGCGCATAGTCAAAAAACTCTCCCATACAAATTGACCCGCACTTATGTATTTATATATGTATGTTTATTTTACCACTGCTAAATAGTTGAGTATGTACCTATGTATGTACCTATATGCGTGTATGTATGTATGTATTTGCAAGGAAAAGTTTATGGCAAATTTTAAACACATTTCTCCCACACTAACCACTACATACGTATTTATTAGCAAACAACATCCGAACATTATTCCAAAACTGGCTGTCCCCCAGCTGCACGTGCCGTTGATGAATGCAATTTTTAGATTTTTTCTCTTTTCACTTTTCTATTTTAAGTGCAAGATAAACAACATCCAGCAAAGAAGGCGCAGAAAAAGCAAAAATTAAAAAAAAATATATATGTAACTATATCAGCCGACTAAAATAAACTTATCATAAATTATGTGACGAATATATCGCTGAAAGATATGTATATGGATGTGTTTATACTACCTATATTAGACCAAACAAATGAAAACGGATAAAATTGTTTAAAATAGAATTTGAACACTTTTCCATGAGAGTGTTTCATTAATGTAAACATTTTTCTTAGCGTCTGTAAAAAACGATTATTTTTTTTTATATAAGATGCAGTATAAGTAGTAAAGCCATCAAAAAGTTCTAAGAATATACAACTCATCGCATAAAATCCATATGCCTTGAACGTTTTTCTTATAATGGTACCTCGAATTCAGTGGAAATTACTACCATCGATCGATTTTTGGTCCATGGAAGTAAATTCAGACATTACTTCCGCCAGAAATAAGTTCCAAAAAAAGATAACCAACTATTAAGTTATTGTTAGGGAAACTAATAAATATGGAATTTTATTTAATGTAGCTTTTGAAAAAACTTCATTAGAAAACGAATAGAAAAGGCGAATTCGACATCGAAATTGAGTTTAAATTGGATGATGTCTTCAAGGAAAATTCGAACGCAAACACTTCTGACGCCCAGTTCTGGACGGTCTCATAATCTGTATCCATTGTAAAATAAATCCTTGCGATATTTTAAATATTCCCCGTGATCATGTAATCTTATGTCAATTCTTCGAAGTTTGATGATGGCTGTGAATGTCAAGTAAGTATTCAAAGTTTTGTTCGAATGAGATTTTACATATATGTACATATCGATTCCTAATTTCGACTGGGTAAATTTTACAGGAGTTTTTTTTTAAATTCTCCTTTAAACAGTGGAAAAGTTTATTTGGATTTAAATGGACATCAACATTATTGAATGCTAGCTTTCTAATAGAACTATTTATTTTTTTGCATACCTTATTGTCTAAAGGTAAAATGGCGCTTAAGATATTTTTTCTGAACATGCTGAGAGGTAAGTTATCAAAGAATTGGTGCTTGCGATAGTTTGGGTGTTATATAATCTGGACTTTTACAAACGAAGGAATGCGGGTACTTTAGGGATTATTTGAAAAAAACTGAATTTTAAATCAATTAAACATAAACACCGCCAATACGCAAAATAAGCTCAACATAATTTCACATTGGACATAGATGGGACCTCTTCAACCTCTAATCCACTGGCTGTAAGGAACCATACTGAATTCAATTAATGTACTATATCTATCCTAATATCCAAGCGGCAATCAGGGCCTTAGTATCGCTAATGGTGCAATCAAAACTATTCAGGCCACATCTAAGGTCTCTCTTGGTCACAGTGAAATACGCCTTAATTAGACTGATCTGAGTGCCAAAGCATAGCGATATTGCAGGTAACTGTAATGTTGATGAGTCGGCTAGATATGAGACTCTCGAGCTAACTTCCTCCACAACAGAGAGGATATAGAAGTTTCTTTGAAAACCTGCACCCTACATATTAGATACTAGTCGGAACAGCGAGCTCTGGACGAACATTTCTACGTGCAAAGTCAAAAGGTCCTTTGGGTCAGTGGTGGACCGTAGATGCTGAAAGAATCATCTTAAGCTGACCAAGCGCTATTTATCGGTGCTGACAATCCATAAGACAGATGTTCCTGATCCATAAGATCGATTTGCCGATTTTAACCCCGCCTTCGATAGGATTTTGATGTTGTTGAGTGACACCACCAGCACCATCAATGCGAAGTGTGAGGAGCACTTATTTAGATATAAGAACATGCAGAAGGTACTTTTAAGCAGCAGTACACGCAAACGTCATCAGGCATTAAGCCCCTCACTTTAAATTCCTCAACCTGTCACAACAACTAAGCGTTGTTTTTTCATCTTTAAGCAGCTGGGAAAATGTAAACTTTTATTATAGTTGTCTATTAAAAGCAAATAAAACTACCAATTCAATGGCAATGTGCAAATGTTTGCTTATATGTACAAATGCATGTTTGTACATACATATGCTGACATATTTAACAAAACATAGCAAGTAAACAAATAAATAAATATACATATGTACATATATTATTGACCGACGACGCACTGGCACTTTCACGGCGCCTGCACCTCGGTGGTGCTGAGCGCTTCATGTTTCACAATCACATTAAGCAATTTGTTGGCATACACCGCAATTAATTGAATTGAAGTGAATTGATACAGCAACACAATGAAATGGAGTAAAGCATTAAGCTCAGAGGGACAGTGATCGAATTTAAAGGAGATGGTTGTGTACATACTAGGGTGGTTCAAAAACAGTAAAGTCGGAATTGTAATGCGCTCACCTCCTAGGATTGTTCTATATCGAAAAAAAGTATACCCCTATTTTTTTATTTTGAAATCAAAAAATATTTAGAGGTCGCTCAAAGCGCTCAAAGTTTTCCATGTATTTTTATAAGTATGGGAAAAATAAATTTTTTTCGTAGAAATGGTATAGAATTCTTGAAGTCAATATTTTTCGATCGGAAAACTCTGGTTCTCTTCAGGACACTTTCAATAATAATACCCAATAGTTTATTTAATCATTTTTTAATGCTAACGATTTTTTATTGGTCGCCCCATTGCATTTTTCGGGGGTTTTTTTTTTGCAGGCCTTTCGGTCTTTCCAATTCGCCTCAAATGCAGATGGCGGGAGTGCCATTGTTTTTCAGTGGAGCTCCTAATCTTGTAAGTCGGACGGGTGCTTGAAGTACCGGCGAACTGTGTGGACTGTGTGTATTACGAACTTACACTGCAGTCTTCCAAGGCGGGCGTTGGGTGCGATGCCAGATGATAAAAATATCATTGGTCTAATATCAGTGCTTGAATTTATCAAGTCTCATTGAACCGAGCAGTGTACCTACATACATATCAAGGTATGCGGACATACATATGTAATAATCTACCTTTTTACATATGAAATATTTACGTACATATATGAAATTGTATATTTATGTATACACAACGCATACATATTTTATATACCACTTACCTATTGTTGCCGTATTGAAAACAGTGCCGACCACAGCCATTAACAGAATTGTGCCCAAATTGTCGAAGAATAAACGATTTGGCATGAAGTAGCCAGCATCCAGAATAATCGGTGGTAGCATGTAGAAGAAGAATGTGTTTGGTGTGAGTGGCGAGACGGCGACATCAGTGCAAAAGTACAGAACAAAACCAATAATAACACCAACAACAATCAGCAAACAGGATTCCGGGAAAATGAGATGTAATTTTGGTGTCATATGAAAACCTGAAATGAAACGAAGGAATACAGTGGGTTAATACCAGGTGCGGCGTAGAATGGATGGTGGCAAAATAATACAAATTGATCGTATACATAATTGATTTGGCAGTTAAGCACTGCACGACTGTAACATTAAGTGCCTTTTGTGTTCTTTTACAACCCCAAAGGTAGCGGGCGGGCCATTGAGCACTTAAGCCTATGCTTTGTGTTTATAAAGGACTTAAGCATATGTATGTATTGTAGATGCTTACTTGTGTGCATGTTTGTTTCATCAGTACCACGCTGTATGCAAAGGCCAGTTGAAGTGTATCTATTTAGAGTTTGCCCGATATCAAGAATGTGTATACCTATCTACTTATTTAAAAGTGTATTAACTCAAAAGTTCACATTTTTCAGAAAAAGTAAACAAAACATTGCTTATAAGTAAGAGCCCGTTACAGCAACATATTATTCATCTTATTTGGCACTACAACCGTTTTCTGGTTTGCACCGAGACCATAAATCTGCACCTCTTGCCTCTCTCCTTGGCGAAATGGCGCCAGTTGTTCATACCGAGGTTTTTCCATTTTCTTCGTGGGTGCCTTTGCTTTCGTTGTCCATTCATGGGCGGCGCCGAGCCGAAGGAACTTTTCAGTCATCCATGCATACAACATATCTCAGACTGCGTAATCGCTTATTTCTTGGGGCTTAACAACGTCCATGCCGTTAAAAAGCTAATACAGTTCGTCATTCCATCTTCTTCGGTACACGTCGCCTACGCGGAATGGTTTATAGATCTTGCGTAGGATAGTTCTCTCAAAAGCATCCAAGGTCTTCTCATCTTATTTCGACATCGGCCACATTTCTGCGCCATACAACAGAGCGAGCATGATGAGACGGGAGAGGGGGATTTGCTTTTCGATTGCCTACGGAGTCCAAAGACAAGGTTTCGCTTGATTTCCAGGCTGACCATTTTGGTGGTGTTTATCCCGGATGATAGGTAGACAAAATCCTTCACTACTTCAAAGTTATAAATGCTAACAGTGATGTGTGTCCCGAAATGCGTGGTCTCTTTTATGTTGCCAGAAGTTACTTTGTGCTGTCCTCTTTCACCGTTACATCAACCTTTTTGACTTTGTATAAACTGGAAAATGCTGCACCTAGGTGCCTGCAGCATCGTTCTTTTTCTGTACAAGGTGCCGCTGAGATTCCAATTGGCAGCTCTAATTACGCTTTGCAGCATCAGATTGGGAAAGTCGCACGAGAGTGAATCGTCTTGTCTAAAATCTCATTTGGTCTCAAACGGCGCGCAGAGATCCCTCCCAGTTTGAAAGAAGCGCAAGGTCGTGCTGAACGTTCCGTATTAATTTTTTGGGGATCCCAAATTAAGAGATAACGTTGTTGTTGTTGTAGCAGCATACAAATTCCCCAAAGACATTTTGGGGAGTGTTGCTGGAGTGACAGTCCTTGGCCAGATATAAATCTGGGTCGTTCCGGTTACGTAGACCCGACTGTCGTGGGAACGAAGAGAATACGTCGTACAGGCTGCTTCGCTTCGTACTCTTAAAATCGGCAAAGGCTGTGAAAATCTGTCAGTGGTGGACTTACCAGGTTTGACTCTCCAAACAGTTGGTTCGTTAAGGGCTTTAGTCTTGCAGACAGTATTATTCCGCGTTAAGTAGCGCATAAGGCGGTAATTCCTTTTTTGTGGATTGGACAAATACACTGAGATTCCAGTCTTCGGGCATATATTCATCAGACCAAATTCTGCTTAACCGCTTTTATTTATATTATGGTGGTCCGGAAAAAGGAAGGTCGGAATTTTAATGCTCTCATCCCCTATAAGCTTCGTACATTGGTTCGGATTGTTGTTCATCAAATGCGCCACCTGTGTCGCCATTTAAAAGCGTCTGGATTTCCATCTTCGTCTTTATAAGAACCAGCTCTGGCCTTGAAACCAGTGGATTTTTGCCTTATTTTGTGATAGACTTTTTGAGCCGAATATCTGGCTGCCACCATCTTAGGCTCTTCTAATCACGTCACGATGTTTCTTCGCCATCTTCTTCTTCTTCTGGTATCGCTCAACTGTCCGTCGCTTCGTATGCTTCGAATTTCTCAAACCACTTCCTCCGCAGCGGCAAGAAGATATTGGTCTCGTTTATATCCCGTCGAATGAAAAGTTTGTTCTCCAGAGTCGATTGCGAAATTTCTCAACTGTCTGTGTCTGTGACTGTAGCTTCTCGACGTCGAACTTTCGCCGTGTTGCCTGACGCACGTACTTCATTTCACAGAGGCGCATTCATACCTTAGCTTCTACAATATAATGATCCGAGTCTATGCTATTTAGCTGCTCGTATAGAGCGCACGTGAAGAACGCTTGACGCCCATCTTCCGTCTATCACAATATTATCAATTTGGTTCCCCGTTCTTTAATTAGGGGCTTTGTGGATGTTTCGATGCTGGTTTCTGGTATTAGTAACAACTATTAGACGAGGCTTAAGGACAAGTGCCTCTTTCAGTTGTAAGGGTTTGTTGTTGTTTTTTTTTTTTAGTTTTGAGTTGTGCCATTATTGCAGAGGTCCATCGATATTTACATACGAAATTTTTTCATTAGATTTCTTGTAAGCAAGCTTAATTTTTCTCTTTGCTCTTTGTGCTGCTTGATTTTCTTGGGTTTATTGATTTTTATTGTTGGTGAAAATTGTTTCTAAATCTACTTGAAATGCACACAAAGCTGCACACAGAGAAATTGTATATGGGCGTTTTAATGGGCAATATGCAGAGTATCTTAATTCACCCACTACTGGAATATGTAGTCGTTTTTATGTATGCATTTGTATGTAGGTATGTGGGGGTAATGCCTACATACCTATAACCGTGCCCACGTGTGAGTACCCGATAATGAATTTAACTGTAAAGCACTGTTATAAGTAAACGTTTTATAGACGGGCTCGACGACTTCTTAGACACGCGTGCTAAGACTTTTAAGCTTTCTAGATTTTAAAAGGTCGGGAGGCAGTAAAAGTTCTTTCAGGCCACATTGCTTTACATCGGTGGTGGGCATCAGCTTTCCCGCGGGCAAAGCTCCCGCAATCTTTTTGTACTAGATGTATACAAAGCTTGAAAGAGCTTTGCCCGCGGGCAGGTCGGTGGTGCCCACACACGTTTTAAAAGTACGCGCAGAAAGTAAAAGCTCACTTTGATCCTCACTGCTTTATAAGCACGTATGTTAATCTTTTTTGGACTATTTTACTACATTCAGTCCGCACAAAATCTATATAAAAGCTTAAAGGGTATTCCCCGAGGATATCTATATGCCTATGTACAGCATGCGACAAAACGATAGCACCTCAAAATTTTAAACAATTTTGACTATTTCTCTTTTGTTTGTTTAATCTTTATTATTATTATTATTTTTTTTTTAAGTATAGCTCTATCTAACAAATGCTATATAAATCCAAGTTTCAGACCTTGCAAAAAAATTATAAACATTCCACAAAATTTTCATACAAATTCCAAGTTTTTTAATTTCTAGAATAATTTTTGGTATGCAGTTTTATAGCTTATTAAAATATAGTAGTAATTCTCAAGTTTGAAGTTGCTAAAAAATTGTGTTGATTTTTGATATTTTTTTTTTGCTGACGGTATCACGTATTTTCTTCAAGACAAAGTAATTTTTTATATAGAAAAGAGTGCATAACACCGTCAGAACAAAAAATTCTCAAAAATCTATGCGATTTTTTAGCAACTTCAAACTGTCATTTTATTATACTAGAATTTAATAAGCAATAAAACTGCATACCGAAAATTTATTTAGAAATTCTAATTAAAACACTTGCAATTCGAATGAAAAGTTTGTGCAATTTCTTAAATTTTTGTACAAAGTTTGAAATTTGGTTTTTGTTAAAATCACTTCTAATGCAACACGCAGAAATTTCATAGGATCAGCGTAGCGGGTGAGGGTAAGCTGGTATTTCTACATATATATATTCTTCTTTGTCTGCGCTATCGGTGAGAATTTAATAAATAAATTTTTGGGAAGGAAGAGACTAAGAAGAGTGTGTCAACATATGTATGCCTCAAGCACACACCGAAACTTTTTAAGGGAAGCTAAGGTGAAATAGAGTAAAAAACTAATCCCAATACTATCTGCAATAGGTTGATTGAATGTAGAAAAATCATAAATCAAAAACTCCTTCCACTAGCCTGATAAAGGAGAATATCGAGCGCGTTTGATTTTGTAGATTAATTCACTTTCATTTATAGCAATTTAATTATTTAATATGTATTTGGACTTCACATTTTTGTTGAGTATTTAGCACGCAATCGAAAAAACGTGAAAAAGAACTAGTCTTATTTTGTGCCTACACAGAATTTCCACTAATGGGTATGGACAAACAAATGTGTGTATGTATGTATGTGTGCAAGTAAACTGTCGCACTAACAAGTGGCAAAAGGTGGCTTAAAGTGTTTTAGCTACGGGTATCTGCTGAAATGGCATATTTTCATCAAGAAAAAGCAGGCCAATGATAATGGGCCTAACAATTAGGTCAATGCTATGGAAAATTGATAAACATTTTTGAATAAGAAAAAAGACAATTATGCACACACTGAAGTATGTAACTCAATAGAAGGTACTTAATAAAAACATACATATTTAAAAATATAAAATTTGCGTCTTTTGAGACGTTAGTTAAAGTTTTGAATTATTTTTCATTGTCAAGCCCTTAAATACAAAAGCTCAATACGTATTTTTTATTTATTTTTTTATTTTTATTTAAAATAAATATGAAATGTTTACTTTAATTTCTAATATGAACATTAGGGTGCCCCACCAAAAAAGAGTTGTGGTGTTTCCCACGGAATCGTAAAATGTATTATATTTAAAGACTTCATTCAAAATATTTCTGAAATATATTATTGTTTACATGGGCTGGACCGATTCCTTAAAGTTTTTTATCATCTGAGTTGATTTTTCGGACAAACTATTTTTAAAAACTAATGTTATTTATAGAAAGAAAAAATCG